GATCGAGCCATTGCCCTCCAGCCTGGGTAACAAAAGCGAAACTCCGTCTCAAAAAAAAAAAAAAAGAAAGGACAAGAGGACACTCTGGGGACAGAACCGAGGATGCAGACTGAACTTTTGAGTCGTGCTATGCCACGGGGCATTTGCTATTCCCCTATACTCTGTTAACCTGTTACCTGGGCTTCTCCTGAGACAGAGTCCCACCCATACCTGGCTCATTACCAAATGCTCTGGCTCCATCCCAGGAGCATGCTTCAAAAACTCCATGGGCTAAAGGAATGTTCAAGTTAGTGTCTCTGGCCATAGCTGATAAGAGAGGTTACTCACCACTTGGAACCAGGAGGAGGCTTTTCATGATGCTTTTGAGGGAGCCAAGACTGATCTGATTGGTGGTGGCAAATTCAGAGAGCTGAGCCAGAAACCTTTCCACCTGCAGAGGGGAAACAGTGAAAAACCCAGGCCTTCACTTTCTAAATATCTCAGGGAACATGGGCCCACCCTCCCTAACATAAAATGTTTTATTTACCTCTTTTGGCTCAGTTAGGAAGTGGAAAAGCACCTCTGTCAGGGCAGAGAACTGCTGTGAAGAAAATAACACAGAACATCAGTACAGTTTCTACTCCTGGGTCAGCATGCCCTGCCCCAGGCAACTGTAGAGCCTTGAGAGGGAAGAACAGTAACAGCCAGGTGTTATGCCTGCTCTGATCATCTTACAGCTACAAACATTCACAAGACCCACCACCGTGTCAATATACCTGTGTCACTACATCATCTGAAAAACATGTTTATTGAGATACTTGGGAAACATGTATTGAGGGATTGTGAGCATATGCACCCAGGTACACACATATATCTCTAGGACACAGACACAGACACACACAGACACACACACATGCACAAAGGGGAAATCACCAGAAAATTAAAAGCAGTTACCACTTTGGATTATTTTAATTTTCTTCTGTTTTGCCTATCAATATTTTCTTTTTTTCTTTCCTTTTTTTCTCAGACAGAGTCTCTCTGTTGCCCAGGCTGTAGTGCAGTGATGCAATCTCGGCTCACTGCAACCTCTGCCTCCTGGGCTCAAGCAATCCTTCCACCTCAGCCTCCAGAGTAGCTGGGACTACAGGCACGTGCCACCAGGCTGGGCTAATTTTTTTTTCTTTTTAAGTAGAGACAGGGTCTAACTTTGTTGCCCAAGAGGGTCTCAAACTCCTGGGCTCAAGCAATCTATTCGCCTCAGCCTCCCAAAATGCTGGAATTACAGGTGCAAGCCACGCACCTGGTCTCATATTTTCTTGGGTTCCCCCCACTGTAAACATCTTGTTACTTGTATAAGACAAGTAACAGGGGGGCCGGGCGCGGTGGCTCAAGCCTGTAATCCCAGCACTTTGGGAGGCCGAGGCGGGTGGATCACGAGG